CTGGATGGGAAGGAAAAGGATGGAGGAGCAGTGGTGGAAGGGGGAGCTGGCGGCGGACATCCATCGGACCCTGCGGACGAAGGTCGGGTCCCACTTTGTTCTCCCCCTCGTCCCCCTCGCTCTGCCCTCCGCGCTTTGCTCCCCGGCAGAACCGCCCGGGCACCGGCCCGCGGCTGCGGCTCGGCGGTGGCAAATCTCGCCTTCGGCAGGTCCCCCCGCAGCGGGTTCGCACGGAGCCCCTGCCGGGGCTCTGTTCGAAACCAAACCTGTGAAAGCTGCTACCCAAAAGTACCCGCTTGCAACTTTTCGGTGGCTTTAACTTAGCCGGGGTGTTGACGACTCGTTGCGTTAAATGCTAAGAGGGTGCTGATGGTGACCCGCAAAAAGCAGCGTATCGTAGGATCTGGAGGAACAGCGTTGCTGCTCTTCCAACAGATCAATGCTCCAGTTCGAGGAAAAGGTAGGAGGACCCTGTTCCCTGGCAGACTGTAGAGGAGCTGAGAGATGTACGGACGTGGCTTGTAGTGGCTCTTCTAGAAGTTGTGTATCGTTTACTCATGGATTGGAAAACCAGTAAGATGTCCTGCAATAAGCCAAACAGTCCGGTCGCTGTTTGATGAACTGGCGTACTTGTACAGAGAGCCGGTAGAACTAAGGCTGTTGGTTTACTTTTCACGTTTCCTTAGGTAGACTCCCAACTTCAGAGAGGCTCTAAACGTGGTTAGTTGGGTAACATGAGAGAGAGCCCTCAGCAAATACTGACTGACTACCTGCACTTGACACAGCTTTTAAGTTACTAAAGTTATGGCTAGTAAAAGTTAGTGCTTTGGACATTCGGTTCCCTTTGTTTTCTTTACAGGCATTTAGCAATAAATTGTGTCAGGTGAGTTAATGGGGGTTGGTTTGTTCTCGTGTCCTCCAGCTGAGGCAGGTCTTCCTGGCAGGGGGGAGGAATAACTGAGAGAATCCAATTGACAGGGTGTTAAAAGGTTGGGGGGAAGCTTTGTTTTTTGGTTGTTTTGGGGTTGGTTTTTTGTAGTGTATCCACTACCTCTTAATCAACTATTTCATTCTTCAGCCTGCTTTCTGGATGCATCTGATGATTCCAGATTGCTAAAACAACTTATTTGTATATATGGATAATAACCTAGGCCAGCTGAAATGACAAGAATTTTTGAATTCAAGGAACCTGCAAAGAGGGAGAAGGGTCTCTGGGCTGTTCTGCTGCTTCTGCTCTGAGGAAGGTCTACAACTCTTACTGTGTGGACAATTCTAATCCTAATTCTACCCACCTTGTAAGGACGTCTTTTCTTTTTGAATGAAGTACTACATGAGAATCCAGAGTGCAAATATATCAAGCAAAAATAATCTCAGCCCCTGAAACTTCTTTGGTTCACTTTCTGTGATATTTTTTTTTCTCCCTGAAGTAATACGCTGCAGAAACAACTCTTAAGTATATTGCCAAGGTTTGCTTTTTTGATGTCTGAAGTGTCAGAATTTACTGTAGAAGGTTGTGAAACCCCTCAAAAGGATCCTTCAGCACAGCTTGGGAAGATAAGTCGTTTTGAGGTACTGAAGTCAGTTTTGTGAGCATGGACCAGTTTTAGGGATGCCTATGGCCATTGCATAGAACAAAATAAGCCTCAGTAGTGACATCCTCACTAGAGTATTAGTGTCTTAGTGCGTTATTAGTGTACTAGCATGTTAATACTGGAATACAGAAAATTCAGGCAATGGTACCCTTAAGCCTAAATGACCTCTCTGATTTAAGGTACTTGCTGAGGAGTCCTAGTCTGGAACGGTGTGTGTCTCTGATCTTGGGTAAGAATAAACACGCCTTAGCTTTAGCGTGTAAATCTGACAGGAAAGTTACTTAAAGATGCTTGTCAAGGAAGTTGAAATGCATGTTGCAGGCTAGCCCACTTTTTTTGAAGAACACACTTAAACTCTGAGTTTAAAGTGAGGAATAAAATGCCCCTTTAAAATAACATAACTTTTCCTAAAACAACTGAAGGATCATTAGAAACACTTTTTTTTTTTTCCCCCCAAAAATAATTGAGACACATTAATGTAGGACATGTATGCCCTAGGTTTTATGTTAACAACTGGAAAAATATTATGCCATCCCTCCCATCCCCCCAGTTGGCTTTGGAAATTCTTCTTAACCTCATTGAAAGTTAGTGTCCTTTGTGACAGATGTTGTGTATAGTATCTGATGGATATGTTCTGCATGAGAGCAGATACTGAATGCGTGTGGTATACCTGGCTTCTAATTCAGAGAGGGCTGAAAGATGCTGTGAGGCTTTGTGACTTCTCAAAGGCTCTAGCTCAATGCGGAGGAAATTAATAGCCCCTGAATTGTCTGACTAGTAAAATATCTGCTGTGATTATTGGGATGTAGTATTCAGCTTAGCGGGACTGTATTGTGTTAGTTACTGAGCGTGCTGACCTAGTGGAGCAAAATGCTTAAATTCCAAAAGTGCTACACACATCCTTTGACTTTAAATGAAAGGTTAAAGTGTATCCCTGGATTAGGCCAGAACATTAACCTGTTGCAAGACTGAGCCAGGAAGGAAAATAAAAATTGGAGCATACTGTGTGTGTTTGTGCTAGAAGAGCCTAACACACACCAAGCTGAAAAAGGTGCTGTCTGTATGCATTGATATTTTCTGGTACTTCTACAGTGGCCCTGTGTAAATGTTAATGGAAAGGTGCCGGTTGTGCCTGGCAGCTGACTTCCATATCAAAAATCAGAGACCTCTGGACGTGGGACTACTGCAACATCTGTGCAAAACTCTTCTGTCTGCTTCAGTAGCCCTGAATATGCCACAAGTGTGGAAAGCTGAGTAACAAGTCAGTGTTGGCGTAGTTTGTTTGTTTGTTGTTTAAAGTTGAGGAAATACTTTGCTTTAGAAGGCAGTCTTGAGTGTCCCAGAAATAAGTGATGTCTGTTTGCCGTTCCTCCCCCATTTTTGTGCTTATGTTGGGCTGTTTCCTTCCAGGATATGTTCATTTCCTGCAATTAATAAGAATTACTAGATCTGCCTGCATTTCCCTCTTTATTTATCTCTTGCATAGCTTCTCAGAGTAGGGCCAAATTTTACAGGACTTGTTCCTTGCGAATTTAAAAGGTTAATAATTGTAACTTGATCTTTTTAAAGGCAGTCCAAATTACTGTCTGCAGTTACTTTCAGCCAGGTGAGGAGAGCTGATCCTCTTTCTGCTGAAGGCAAACAGTGCTTTGCTGTTAAGTGGTAAAATGTCTGAGCGATTTCCTCTAGGTAAAAGCTCCTCCACACCTGACTCCCAGCTCTTCTTGGTTTAAAGATCTTAATGAGGAAATGCTGTTTACCATCACGGTGTGTTTCATTCTATTTTGACGTGCAACATTTCCCTTTGCTTTGTCCATGGTGTCAGTCTGGACTGCAGTCTCTGAAGCAGGAGTGTAACCTATACAGGGTTTGTTGTATTCTTCACTGGTGTGAAGTATGGTGTTGTATTCTTCACTGGTCTTTGAGTACTGTCACCATAAATGCATTTCTTGCAGTTTTAAATCATCCTGTTAGAAGTAGTACAGGATCCTGTTATTAACTTTTTTCAGTAAAAGCTTTGGTAGAAACACAACCTCTTCCTCTTCTCCCTGCACCTGGCGTATGTCCCTGTATGTATTTTCTGTAGTTGTGCCAAAGCATCTGGTTTACTTGACCTGTTGGTAGTGTGAAGGTCTTGATGTAACGGGTACTGTTTTATCTTTTAGCCTGTAAGTACGCTCTTGTCCTTGTTATTTTAAAAACTGGTTGTCCCTTCAATGCTTAATTAAATGGTAAGTTTGATATGTTCAGATCTGCCTGGCACAGCCTGAAACGCAGATTGGTGCAGACTAGACAGTACCACTCTGAAGAGAGGGAAGGCATTAGAGCGTTGTGTAGATGCTGCTTCTGGGTTTTTCTTTTTAAAACAAAATCTAGATGAGAACTTCAGCGGTCCTGGATACCTGTGGACATGCAAAAGGTTTTGTGCTCTTTTCCATGCTGTTTAATAGAGAGGCTAAAACATGAACCTTTCACTCTGATGCATCTTTCCAGTTTGAATCAGCTGTAAAAGAAAGTAAGTGTAACAGCCATTGAGGTGTATTAATATAATTTTTTTTATCCAAGACTGGCAGCCCAGCAACAAAAGTATAATCTGTTCACTTAACAGAAAACACACACACAAAAAACCTAGCTTTTGAAAATCAGCAGCAATGCATTACTGGTTGCTAGCTGTAACTTGCTTATGTTATAGATGGCAGCATGTGCATGAAGCTGAAAGGAACAGGTGTCCTAATAAAGTACATGGTTATTCATGATCTCTCTTCTTTTTTTCTTAAAGTTGGAATTTCTATCTTCACACTCCTTTCTCTGATCCTTCTCAGACTAGCTGCTGAACTTCTGAATACTTTGAAGAGTGTAAGAAGGACTTAATGAAAAGCTTGATAAAATACCACAGTGGAACATGTGAAGTAATGGGTTTTCAGGCACAATACTAGTTCAACTTTCCTGCAAATTTCAAATGCCTAGGACTGTTGTGAGGATGCTGAAGGGTGGAGTGGGTTCAAGCACAAAAAGCTTTTATGTACAGTTGAAATACTGTTTTGGTCTGCCACAGGTTTTGTATGTGACATCTCAGTAGTATGCCTGAAGCTTAAGTGTCTACACTAAGCTCAGATCTCAAGGAATGGAGTCTGTGTTTACCTGTAGATATCTTGGAAGACAGAACTGGGTGGTAGGGGAGATGCATGAAGAGCACAGAATATAGTCTGAGATGGCCTTTAATCTAGGTAAAAGGGGGAAAACTATTGAAGGCTCTTTGAAAGAGTAAGTGAAACAACCCAGTGTAAGCCAAAGTCATTGAGTAGGTTGGAACTTGAGGTTCTGTTTTACGTGGCCAGGGTTCTGGTCCTTTGTGGGAGATGCACTTGAATTTGCTGCTCCTTTGGAGTGTGTAGGAACAGTGGTAACACAGAAGAAAATCTTAATTTATGGTGTTTCACTCATGCATCAGTGGAATGTATCATAAATCTGTAAGGGTAGCTGCGGGCAGCACTGATCTAGGCAGTGTAATGAGTGTGTTTAAGCTGTTGCTCTGTCTATCTGATTGGTTACTGTTGAATGAGAGGGGGAAAATAAAAGATATATTGCCCATGTACCCTTCCTTGTTAGAAAATCTCTGGATTTTAAATTTTCACTGGAAATAATGAGAGGAACTAACTGACATCCTTCTTGAAATGTGTTTCTGTCAGGTTTGTCTCTTACTCCCACATACTGAATCCAGACGCCGTGCAAGACTGGCGCTTCTCCTAAAATCTGATTAAGACTTGTCTAAAATGGCTGAAGGTTGCTTAAATAATGGGAAATGCCGTAACTTTCAGGACTCTGAGAGATATGGTTATGGCAGGGCTGAACAGAGGAGTAATAACTCATGCAGTGAATCCTAGACTCTGTTACTGCCGTATCTTCTAGCAGGTATAATCATAGGTGTCTCCGTGTTATAAGACAGCACAGCTTGTGCTTGCACACATGAAGTGAGTGTGGCTGTTTCAGAGACTTTCACCATGGCATTTCTGCTCTGCGAGGAAACACATCCTGCTGGCCATACCCGAAGAGCACTGCCCTGTTAGTTATCTTTGCCCTTCCCCTTGAGTTTGCATGGCCAACTTGAAGATTAGTAAAAGCTAAATGCATCAGCTGTACTCAACTATCAGTCTGTTCACAAACACACTAACTCTTAACCTTTCTGACGACTAATTAAATGGCAGTCAGCTGCCTAAGCATAGAAATGCTTACAAGCAAGTTTTGTATGAGTAATTTTGTTACTGGAAGGCATAGTGCTGCAGTCTGTGCAGAGGCAGAAGGATTGTTCCTGTGGGGGAGAGAGAATAGCATGACATTAGTAGCAGAATTGAATTGGTAGCATGCTACCTAGTCTGCAGCAAAGGAGCATGCAGAGTGCTCTGAATTTTCAGGCTGCTATTAAAAAATAGCATAGTCTAAATTTTTCTTTGTATATCACCTTCTTGCCCGCATAAATAATGAATTATAGAGGAGTTAGTTTTCAATGGGTTCTCATGTGCGGTGCAATAATTATATCTAAGAGATCAGTTTGGCACCTTTCTTCCAAAGCTGGAAAACTGGTTAGAACACAAAACAGGAAGGAGGTTGTCTCTTTCAAAGAACAACTGTTAATAGCCTGCTAGATAAGCTTTCTCTTTATTTTTCATCTACAGGCATTTCTTTTTCCTGTTCTAATGCCAACAACTTTGCATTATCTGTTATTCTTACTATAGGAATTCTTAAGGGTCTGGTGGAAGTCACATACATGCTCTTTTTCCAGAACATGCAACATACAGAGAGCAAAACGATTGCCAAAGTTACCATGGTTTTTACTAGGTTTTTTTATTAATTTGGGTGCCTTATATTGACACCACACAAATGGTGTCTTGGGTTTATATACTTTTCCCCTGGATTAATAAGAATCATGGAGAACTTGTCGAAACTTAAGTTATACTTCACTGGGTATCTTTGTTCATCAGCTGGAACCTTTTTTTCAGATTTTGAGTTAGGATCAGTGGTGAACATCTGTGAGCTGTGGTAGCAGGGGCCATACACTGGATTCTGTTTACATATCCAGAAAGAGAAGTAGATAATAAGATTAAAAAAGAATAATAATGAGAGGTGTATGAAGTTCATACTAGTAAATGAAGCTTGTGTCTGTGTAGGGGAGTATTGCAACAGCTGTTTCTAGATGAATAGGCTTTACTGTTGCCAAGTAGCTCTGGTTCAGGTGCTTCATTTTGCTCCAGAAATGAGAAGGTGATTTACCTGGCTCTTCACAGGGTATGCAGCTCTCTGGAGATGCCCGTCTGCAGCAGCTGGATATCTTGCAGCTGAGACAGCTGGTGCTGAGAGGAGGAGAGCAGTAAGAAAGACCCGAGCTGTTGCAGGGAGTCAGGAGATGCTGCATGTTTGACCTGCGGCACAGAACAGATCCTAACCTAAGTCCAAGTGCTCTGAAACCAGATTCAGTTAACATCTCCCTGAATTTCAGAACCCGAGGCATATTTATTACAGCATTTCATTTTCCTTGTCAAAAAGCCTGTGAGTTGTTCTAAAATACCTTGATGAATTCCACTTCTGTTCCAAGAACTGATCGTTATTAGTGTGACTTATTACCATAACGTCACATCACTTGCTAACTTTTCTACTGCTAACTTTTTTTTCTCCTGGCTGCTTGTCAGTTCATTACTGGCTTTATAACAGTGGGAGAACAGTTTTACTGAAAAGAAATTGGACAGAAGAAATGTATGCATGGAATTTCTTGCCATGTTGAAAACCAAACCATCTGATGTGGTACTCTGATGAAGATAAGTGCTGGGTAGACTGGCTTGTACCAGCTGCTGCTTTAAGGGAGCTGGAGGAAGTGATCCTGTTAAGTTTTCTTCCTCTCCACCTTAATTGCTGTTTGGCTGATTAGTTCAAATGGCCAGTGAACGCCTAGCCTTCACGTGGCTACTCAAAAGCTTTAGTTTAAGTCTTGTTGCCTAGCGTCAGCTTTAGGTATGGATTCTGAAGTGCATTTGCTCAGCCCAGTTACAAAACCATCCAAACCAGACAAAATCTTGTCTCCTGAGCTCAGGTACTGACTGGTGCCAGCTGAAGTGCTCAGGTGATGGGCTGTGTCTCTGCAGTGAACGAATGGCTCATGTCTGGAGCCTGGCTGTCTTTCAGATGTGATTGCTGAGGAAGATTTGTCGTCCAACACCACTTAAAAATGTTTACACTGATTCCCTTCTTTTGGAAGGTCAGGTCTTGAAGCTGGTAGGAGGTGGCAGCCTAAAAATTGTCTTCACCCTTAACACTGGCTCTCAGTCCAAGCCTTACTTTTCAGGTTCTGAGATTAAGCGGTGATCCCTTTAAAGTCTGTGCTGTGACTTTCTGGATGCTTTTTGTGGAGAGACACCGATCAATATGTTGAGCAAAGCTTGTTAAGTAATTTCCAAGACACCTGTGAGCCTTTTATGTGCTGCTGCTTTTAGCATTTCAATGTAGCAATTGCTCGGTAGCCCAAAGCAAAGTTGTTGAAGTAGATACAGATGAACGGGTCAAAGATAAGCAGAAGCAGCACATGAAAGGGCAATTCCAGCAGACAGCAGGACTCCTAGTTTCTTCTGTGTTCCTTTAGTGGAGATAGAAGAAAAATTAAGCAATGGAAACGATTTATTTTATTCTTGGTCCCCCAAAGTTAAGTTTTTTCCATATAGTTGTATTTGCTGATCCTGCATCACTGTGCCCAAAGCAGCAAAGGCATTTTTTTGAATTCAAAGGAGTAATTTTTTTTTTCCTTGACGAACTTATGCTAAAGAACCCTGTGGGGGGTTGATGGTACCAACAGTGTTGGTAACCCTAAGCCTGCTATTCAGCTCTTGCATTGTTAAACTATGTACCCCTCGCTTTCCTTTAAAAGAAAATCTCATCATTTAAGACTGATCTGTCAGTGTAAAAGCAGCCCTACTGAACTACTTATTAGCTGCTTCTTGCTATGTGGTGCAGGGCCAGGCTCTTCCCTATACACAGATAATTACCCTGGATCAATTAATACCTAGGAACTTGATCTTGTAAGAAACCCCAGCACGTGGCTGTGTTCCTCCTAACATTAATCCTGAAGTTGAACCTTCTCTGTGCTGCCAAGTCTCGTTACACGGAAGCCCACGTGGGTGTGTTTGGGGAACAGCATGAGAACGCTTCTCACTTACGCCCTTTACTAGCAACCGATTTCCAATAAATAAATAAAAAAAAAAACCCGAAGAAAGCAGATGGCTTACAGGGGAGTAAATGTCTGTGTTAAACCAGTAGCAGAATAATCCTATTGGCTTAAATTCAGTGCTTTGACTGGTCTTCGAATTTTCTAGCGCAGTGGGCTGAATAGGGGTAGTTCTGGCTTCTGAGCATCTGAGGTTCAGATGCAAATCTCCAGATCTCACCTTTCATTCTGAGCCTCTAAAGCTCACCCACTGAACTGTAACATTTGGACTTGTCGGATTTTTTGACTAGATGTATATAACTGGAGTTACTGTTTATTTCTTGCCTTTGTTGTTATGGTCTAAAAAGCAAATTTCACATTAAATATGTATCCTGACCTCAGAGTATACAGTATAATTTTGCTGGGAGACTTAGCTCCCAGGAAACAGGAAGCACATTTCAAAAAATAAAACTTGAAGCTCCTACCAGCCACCTAGAAGAATAAAATATTTCAGAGGTAGAATTGCCACCTGATCTTATGATAGCTTGGGCTTTGTATAGACATATTTAAAAAAATGCAGTTATTTAAACTGATGTAAGCACTGAGCTCGAAACCATTTCTGCCAGAACATTCATGTTACAGGTACGCTATGAATTCCTGCTCTGAACCAGTGTATGTCAGTTGTACCGACGGATTGAAATCTCTGTACATGAGGCAATCGAAAAATCAAATTTATGGGGCTTTTCTGGGTATAAAACAATCAGGGGAACATGTTCCATTGTCTCCCTGCTTTGTAAATTGTTACTGGTGGGCGATTTCTTTATAATCCCCCAGTGAAGGCTGTCCCAGGTTTCAAAGGGCTGTTTGCCTGTCCACAGCATGTGCCTGTTTGGTCCGGAATGTGTTTTTTTCACTGACTTTCTTTAAAAAGGCCTGGGAAGCAATCATCCGTAACAGCACTCCGCTTGCTGTCTTTGTAAGCTGCTTCTCGTTCTGGAGCCTCCCTGGTTTCCAGTTATGTGTGCCCCTCTGAGCCTCATTGTGTAGCTATTTTTTCCTTGATAAGTTGAACCTCCTTGTGGAATGTCCCCTTCCAGGGGATGAAAGGAGTGTGGGCAACCACTGTGCTGCCTGTGCAAGGTGGTGCCTCTTACTTGTGTAAATGGGGTAGCCAGTGCAGGTACTTCCTCTCAACACTTTTTTTTTTTTTTTTAAAAGTCATGATTGATTTAGTAAAATTACCTGCTATGTAGTGCTTTGTATGCCACGCGTCTATCTTGCAGCACTGTACTACTGCTAATTTATTTTCAAATATATGTAATGCAAAAATGCTGTATTACCTTGACAAATTACTGAGAGAGATACTTTGCTGAAACGGTATTTTTCTAATCCATGCCTATCAACGGGTATTCAGCGCGTTTTAATTAAAGTCTGGCCACGGTAATTGCATTAGTATATGACCATGTCTAAAGTGAGAAAGTGTCAACTTTTAAGCGGTATTAGCTTGTTGCAGGTATTCCCAAGGATCTTCGCTCCTTCCCTTAACCTACCCTTTGCATAGTGGCTACAAACCTGTGTGTAAAAACCCTTGCAGGTGAAGACCTAGCATAGGTAGACCAAAACCTTATATAATTCTCCCTTTAAAATGAAAATTCTTACATTACATGTGAAATACAGTCTGTCAGTTCAATAATTAACTTTTGTAATACTCAGGTTACTACAGAACATACTGGAATTTGCTATGATTAGAAAAGTCTAATCATTCTCCCGTTGTTGGTTTGTTTTTTCTTGTTAATGCCTACTTTTGTTTCTTGCTGCAGCCATGCACCATGTGATTATTTTTTTAATATGTTTAAGGTAGATGTTAGTTATTCTAAAGACCTATGCATTTTTTGGCACAGGATGTAGTAACTTGGGCAACTGAAGAAGGGGCAATATCAGAGAAACGTATCTTGACCTTCTTGCCTATGAAACTCTGTTAAAACCTTACTTAACAGTCCGATCTGGGTGAAAAAAATTAAAAAGGAGTCCTTCAGGAACAATTTTAATGGCTGAGAAGTTTGGTGTTCTGTAGAAAGCAACAGCAAGTTGTTCTCGGGTTAAACTGTAATTTAGTGTTTGACTATGTGTTTAATGCTTGTGAGGAAAGTGCGTGGATGACCGAAGTATTAGAAGTTAACTGTCAAAACATACAGTAATCCAGCCCTGATTCCTGTGTCAATCATAGTGTTGTAGCTGCTAAGCATCTGCCATAGCAGGTGGTGGGTGTTGGTTTGGGATTCCAGACACTGAAATGGTATTTGTTTCAGTACCTCTCTTTCATCCCTTTTTTTTTTTCCCATAGGAACTTAAGTTGCCTATGTATAAGGCTCATTCGCCACAGATTGGGATGCGCAGATACTTCATTGATCTCTTGACTGTCCTCAGCAACCGTTGCAATCTCTGCCCCACGGCCCGGCATCTTGCTATCTATTTATTGGACCACTTTATGGATCGCTATGATATCACGGTCAAGCAACTGCACATCATTTCATTTGCCTGTCTTCTCCTAGCAAGTAAGTCAGCTGCTGTATATTAAGGCTTTTTTTTCTCAGCAGATGGTTGTTTTCCTTATATATCATGTGCTGTTTTCTCTATGTTGACAGTTTCCACCTACTTAGGATAAGGCCTAATGAAGTCCAAGTCAAGGCATAAAGCAGTCTGTTAATACGCTCTGCTCAACTGCATAGCTTGCACTACCCATTTATATGCTGGTGTTAATGAGCAGAGGAAGTTTTGGCAGCTGAAGCTGGGTCAGTGGATGGGGACAGTAAAGATCAGGGGGTGATGGTGTGGGAAGAAAGTGGCAAGACTGGGAGAGGTTAGTTCCAAGGAAGAGTTGGTAGTAGGGAATGACATCTGTGTAACACGCAGCCTCTCCTGGAGATCTGTCCTTGGACAATCCGTGCCTCTGTTGTGATCGCTGGGCATAATCAGTTCCTTGTAAATCACAGGTTTCTTATACAGGGGCCAAAGGAAAATTTGCTTCTTGAGGCACTTAGTGGATGTGTTGATGATGCTGGAATGCATATTGCTTGTTTTGGGCTCCTACCAAATAGCTAGGCATTGCTGCGTAACAGTAAAGTTTCGGTATTGGCATCCATTTAGCAAATGATCTTGAACATTTGTCATTAGTGCTATCTTGAAATCTTCTCTGCAGCCAGTGCTGTGCAAGTGGGGGAAGGCGAGACTGGTGGCTCAAGGAATTGCAGTCTACCCCTGCAGACTCTGTTTCTAGGTTACAGAGAAATTATCCTGCCATATGGGAGCCATGTAGAGCAATGCACTACTGTGGACAACAAAAGTTATGCAAACTTGAGCATTAATGGCTGAAAAGTGCAAGTAGTCATACTGGTTAAGGTAAAAAACACTATGGAGAGCCAGAAGCTACTGAGGGAAGAAGGTGATACTATATGTTTACCCCTCAGGACTTGGGATTGCTGCTGCTTTTCCTTGAATCTGCAGAGATAATAGTAAAATAATAAATAACCCCATGCACTTAGTATATTTAAGCATTGCTATCTATCCGACTCCAGTGAAGATGGTGAATTATGTGGAGCAGTTACTGGTTCATGTTGCAAAAAAGGCCAATATTAAAACTGGAACAAAGAAGAATGTAAATGGTTGCTGTAGGTGCAGTCTTAGAGCAGCTTAAGTGGCTCTCAGATATTGTAGTTCTGCTGACCTGAACTTTTCGTTAGCTCCTTCAGACCAGTAGATTGGCAGAAAACCACCCCAGCTGAGGAATTGTTTTCTTTATTTACCAGAGAGGTATTTTTCTGAGGGGTCAGACAAGCTTTGGGCTCATGCAATGGAGGGGAGAGGGGCTGGGGCTGTTTTGTAAATTGCTATGAAACTGTACCCTGAATTTCAAACACATCAGACTGAATGAAATACCAGCTTCAGGTAGCCTGGAGACTGATGCCTGCTCAGACGTGTACTCCTTCAGCTTTCAGACCATCTCTTTTTCTTTTTTTGGGTAACCTCATAACTACAAGATGCCTTGCAGCATTGCTAGTTTTTTGGGTTTGGTGGGTTTTTTTATTATTTTCCCAAGTGCATAGATGAATGTTACCTTCAGGAAGAGAGAATAGGATTTTCTTTAGATAAATCTGATACTTTCAGCTATACTCCTCCATTTTTCCCCAGCATAAAATTGATGCTTCAACAGTTCTTCTAATAACTTTTCATTTGGATTTAGAAGAAGAATTCATAGCTATAGGTTATGTTTCCAGTGCTATGCAGATAGGATGAAAATAGTATCCTCAAACTTTGTATGAATTGTCAGAGTTTGTACACTGGTAAAATCTTGGGCAGATGTTCACTATATCAGATTGGGAGAGCTGGACTGCTGACTTCTGTAGGTTTCAGGATTTAAAAAGAAGCAAAAAATCTTTCAAGATTTTCCTTATGTAAATGACTGAAGTAAATGCAACTTTAGGCCAACTCTATGCAACTGTGAAGCAAAAGGAAGTTCACAAACTGCCCTATGATAACACTAGAGGGAAATGTTTTGCAACTTCTGCCTGCTTAAAAAAAAAAAGGCAATTTGCTTAAAAGAGCAAGCCTAAGTCTAGTGGGTTAATGAGTGTGAGAATCTTTCTAAAATTAAGATTAGAGCAATGCAGTAGCATGTATACCTCCTGATCTGGAATTAAATCACCCCTTACAGGAAGGGGAAAAGGTCTGTTACCATAAAGGCAGCTGTCCTACCAACATGTAGAAACAAAACATTGAAAATTGAACTAAAGCAGCTTTGCACAAAATTAATGCCTAATTAATTTGTATAGATAAGGTTTAAAGCGCTAGGGCTCAGTCTGGAGACTTTTGGGAGCATAGTAAGCTCTGTTGTTTACTGTCTGGGCCATCTTAATGTGCAATAAGGGTATTCTTTTTTGGTATGTGTACTTCAAAGTGATGCAAGTCAGGAAAAGCCACTTTACAGTAAATGGGGATTCCTGTGTTTAGTTTGTTACTTTCAAAATTACATAAAATGGAAGAAAACTTGTACTATGTTTTTTTTTGTTGTTGTTGTTTTGTAGCAAAAGATTCTGAGTAAGTCAGAAGTATTGACCTGAAGTCACCTAGAAGGTTCTCATTGTAGTGAAGAAGAAGAAAACTAGTCCCTTGCCTGTTGTTGCAAATGCACTAATTAGAACTTCCCACAAGGCATTACTGTAGGAAGTTGCACAGTTTTTCAGCAGAGGATTGTGGCAAACATGCTCTTCAGGCTGTGTTGCAAGACACTTGTACTTCTAAAAAATTTTATACCTTCACCGTAGAGAGCAAAAAACCTAATTTTTTTTAAAGTAGTTGTGGTGTTTACATCATAACAAGATGAATGTTTAATGCAGACTGTCTTTCAATAATTGTTATAAGCACATGTTGAGAAACTCTGGGGTTTTCTTCCTGATTGTTTCCTTAGAGAAAGAGATTAAGGGTAGTGTACAGACCACAAGGAAGATGAGGTGTAGTTAGAGGCAAGATTACTTATTCCCACTTATGGTAAGTGTGGGTTTCTTGGGGGGTGGGAGGGGCATAATAGAGAAGCTTTTAGACACACAACTTTTGAAATGGAAGCAACAAACTTCTAAGCTAAATGCAAGTCAAGGACAATTTTTAAGCCTAGAGAAATTGTTGTAAACTTGTGTTTAGCTTTGAAGTTTGTTCCTTCTATCTCGGATCTAAAGGATCTCAAAAACTTGTCTCTCCTTTACCTATAAACATTGCCGTTGCTTATTTTCGATAGCATACAACAGCAGTGCTCTCATGATGGAGAACATAGCGTTTTGCTAGATGTCATTTAGTTAGCTGGAGCTAATTTCTCTTGCTGTTTTCTAGAAATGCACTTTGACTGGCTCATCAGTTTCTCCAGAGGGGGAAACCAAACTGGATGATGATAGTGCTTCCCACTTCAGTGGCAATTGTGAAAGAGATGAGGGAGTGAGAAAATAATACTGTTCCAAAAAAATTGCACTAGCAGCCAAGTAATGTTCAGCCTGGACTTGCGGCAGTTGAGAAGAATGTGGGTGTGTGTCCCTCAAATCATCCAGTTGTTCACTAGCCGGAAGATGTATGTTTCTTTGAAATATATGCACAGTGTGATAATTGGAGAAGGCCTCTGGAAATTCCTGCCAGATAGTTTAGCTCCTCAGAACAGCTATAAAAGCTTTGAAGTTTACTAACGTCATCAATGGTTGTTATTTCCCCTGAATCAGTTCTGAAAAAGAATGGTAAAAACTGTTCACAGTAATCTAAAGGTGAACTGAAAGCTATTGGGGGAGGGAAGGAAAAGCGGCTGGAAATGTTGATGTCACAGTTACTTTAGGAATGTATTTAGAATATTTAGTCTGTCTCTTTCACTTGCGTTAAGGGAACTTTATGATCTAAATCGGAATCATAAACTAAACATGTTTTTGTAATACAGAAAGACCTGGTCTACATGGATGTTTTGGCTAGGTACACAATTAGAAGACAGAGGACCTCCTTTTGATGTCCAGCTGTGGTAATACAAGAGATTGTAGGTTCCTGCTGCTGCAAGATCATTAGTGAAGTCCAGCGGTTTTAACTGCTCAAGATGATCCATCTGTCCCTTGCTTGAAGCAGACTAGTGATTGCTCAGGTTGACTGCTGTTAGGTCAGGGACATGCTGGCTTTTGGTCAGAAGTAACGCTGGGCATCTAGGACTGGTGGTCTTCAGGCAAGCCAGCTGCATCTAGAGCAGGATAGTTACCAGTGCACCTGCACAGAAGCCAGGATTGCTCTCTTTGCACCAGGCTCTGGATGGATGCTCACTTTGCAAACAGGTAAGTGGCTGAAAATGTTACTACTTTCCTTTTCTCCCAAAACATCCCAGTGCTTTGTGTAAACTTTGATTTTTCTCTAGACAAAATCAGCTGGCTTTCAGTAAGTGGATAGATCTAGTTTAACTAACATTTTGCCTGAAGGGAATTGAGGAACTTTCAGTTCATCTCACCTGGCAGGTGAGAAGGCAGCCCCTTGTAGAGGAGCACTGTTGAGCAGCAGCAGGTTGTAATGTTCTGCACTGCAATTCATTGGGCGATTTATTACAGAAAATGAATGTGATATTTTAAGGTGCTCTAGCCCTAAGTGCTCTGTTGGAAAAAGGGATTGTGTAAAGATATCCCATCTGCTTTAGTGCTACTTGGCTCAAATTGCCTGCTGAAAGCTGTGCAAACCAGCTGCCCCAAAGTAGGTGAGATGCACTGATGCAGTCCATTCAGATGGTCCAGCTGCAGGAGCAGTAAACTCTGGGGAGAGAGCGAGCACCTGGGCAGTAAGTCTTAAACTGCTGTGACTGTTTCTTCTGTGGGTTTTGTAACTGTGGTATACAGGGACTGAACTGTTATGGTGTATCAGTATAGTTAAAGCAGCGCAGCTTTTGCTTGTTGCTGTAAAATCCTAGCTGGGTCTTAAAAGCTGTTCCTTTCTTCCCTGAAGAGCTAACCCTCTTCAGCAGCACGTGCTTCAGTACCTGATAAAAGCAACATCTCTC